CCTAATAACATAAAACTAGTCAGTACATATTACTATGCTGGGCCTTAATGACATAAAACTAGTCAGTACATATTACTATGCTGGATCCTAATAACATAAAACTAGTCAGTACATATTACTATGCTGGGCCTTAATGACATAAAACTAGTCTGTACATGTTACTATGCTGGATCCTAATAACATATAACTAGTCAGTACATATCACTATGCTGGGCCCTAATAACATAAAACTAGTCTGTACATATTACTATTCTTGGTCCTAATGACATAAAACTAGTCAGTACATATTACTATGCTTGGTCCTCTATGACATAAAACTAGTCAGTACATATTTCTATGCTGGGCCCTAATAACATAAAACTAGTCAGTACATATTACTATAATGGGCCCCAATGACATAAAACTAGTCAGTACATAATTATCTACTATGCTTGGTCCTAATAACATAAAACTAGTCTGAACATATTACTATGCTGGGCCATAATAACAGAAAACTAGTCAGTACATATTACTATGCTGGGCCCTACGTAATAACATAAAATCAGTCAGTACACATTTCTATGTTACCAAGAAAATATTCTTTAATTGATTTTTACTACGAAATCATAATCATTCTTTTTTTATATTCTACTTTTTGCTCTAGAACAAAAGGCAAATTCATCACATTACAAAACTTGAAATATTTATATTTAGTACCGGTAACACCATGTATACTTGTTATATACTTACCGTTAATCTCTGTACCGGATACTTTGTTGTTCAAGTTTTGAACTCTTCCATCCAATTTGCCAACAGTTTCATTTAAATCATTAACTTTTGGTTCCATATAAAGGACAGTTTTATCTAATTTTCCAACAGTTGGTTCCAGTTTGTCTACAGCTTTATCCATTTCTTCAATTTTTGGGTCCAACTTGACTACAGTTTCATCTATTTTTCTAACTTTTGGTTCCAACTCGACTACAATATCATCTATTTTTTCAAATTTTAGTCCCAATTTGCCAATTGTTTCTTCTAATTTTTGAACTTTTGGTTCCAATTTGACCACAGTTTCATCCAGTTTTTCAACTTTTGGTGCCAATTTGGGAACCATTTGGTATGATTTTTCAACTTTTGGTTCCAATTTGTCAATGGTTTCTTCTATTTTCTCAACCTTTGGCTCCAATTTGGCAACAGTTTTATCCAATGTTTCAACTTTTGGTTCTAAACTGACAACTGTGTAATCTAATTTTTCAACTTTTGGTTTCAATTTGACAACAGTTTTATCTATTTTCTTAATTGTTGGTTCCCATTTGACTACAATTTCATCTAGTTTTCCAACTTTTGGTTCCAGTGTTGCTGCAATGTCATCTAGTGTTTTAATTTTTGGTTCCAATATTACAACAGTTTCGTCCATTTTCTCAACTTTTGGTTCCAATTTGACTACTGTTTCATTTACTTTATCAACTTTTGGTTTCAGTTTCATGAATGTTAAATCTAATTTTTCAACATCAGCCACTAACTTGGGAACGTTTTCATCCATTTTTTCAACAACAGATTTCAAATCTGAACTCCTGCTTTCTAAGGAAATTATATTATTTTGCAGCTGAACAATATCAACTAATGTTTTTCTTTCTAATTCTTGGAATCGGGATGTAAGGTTGGCATTGTTGGTGTACAAAATGTATCTGAAACATAAAATATTAAAAAGAATATTAGAGCTAACGTCAATCCAAAAGTTAGTGGGTTTCTCAGTGGGGCGCTTCACTTAAGTATTGATGCCCAAGGTATGTGTGTTGTTCAGTGGGGCGAGTATTGATACCCAATTAAGGTAATGTGTTGTTCAGTGGGGCGAGTATTGATACCCAATTAAGGTAATGTGTTGTTCAGTGGGTCAAGTATTAATACCCAAGGTATGTGGGTTGTTCAGTGGGGCGCTTTACTTATGTATGGATACCCAAGGTATGTGGGTTATTCAGTGGGTCGCTTCACTTAAATATGGGTACCCAAGGTATGTGGGTTGTTCAGTGGGGCGCTTCACTTAAGTATAGGTACCCAAGGTATGTGGGTTGTTCAGTGGGTCGCTTCACCTAAGTATGGATACCCAAGGTATGTGGGTTGTTCAGTAGGGTGCTTCACTTAAATATGGATACCCAAGATATGTGGGTTGTTCAGTAGGGTGCTTCACTTAAGTACGGATACCCAAGGTATGTGGGTTGTTCAGTGGGGTGCTTCACTTAAGTACGGATACCCAAGGTATGTGGGGTGTTCAGTAGGGTGCTTCACTTAAATATGGATTCCCAAGGTATGTGGGTTGTTCAGTGGGGCGCTTCACCTAAGTACGGATACCCAAGGTATGTGGGTTGTTCCGTAGGGTGCTTCACTTAAATATGGATACCCAAGGTATGTGGGTTGTTCAGTGGGGAGCCTCACTTAAGTATGGATTCCCAAGATATGTGGGTTGTTCAGTAGGGTGCTTCACTTAAATATGGAAACCCAAGATATGTGGGTTGTTCAGTAGGGTGCTTCGCTTAAGTACGGATACCCAAGGTATGTGGGTTGTTCAGTAGGGTGCTTCACTTAAATATGGATTCCCAAGATATGTGGGTTGTTCAGTAGGGTGCTTCGCTTAAGTACGGATACCCAAGGTATGTGGGTTGTTCAGTGGGGCGCCTCACTTAAGTATGGATTCCCAAGATATGTGTGTTGTTCAGTAGGGTGCTTCACTTAAATATGGATACCCAAGGTATGTGGGTTGTTCAGTGGAACGCTTCACCTATGGGTACCCAAGGTATGTGTGTTGTTCAGTGGGGCGATTCACTGAAAGACAGTTAAAATCAATTGGAACTATTTTGAAAGCCCTTCATATATGCTACATGCCATAAGCCTGTTCTTTATTAAGAAGTTGCTTAAAAATTCTACCAAATTTCACTCATGTGATCTTGAAAGTGGCATTTCTTTGGAAATCATAGGTCAGATATTAACAAAACATTTTTTTTTAAGTACTACATTGTACCGCTTTACAAAAAACGGATGATGCCAGATTAAAGCTGTGCCATGGCATAAGGTCACGGCCCTATGGGCCAGGTCAGAATTTGAAGGGGAAAAAAAATCCTCTTATTTTCAAACTTTGTGTATTTATATGTTTGACAAATTATTATTTTTTAATTCCAATTCCAATTTGATTTGAATTTTAAAGTTTGAAAATAAATGAAAATAAATCAATATATTGTAAAGGCCTTTTTATTTTTCCCCGTCCCCATAATGTTCTGCGATTTTGATTTCACAGGACCTACTCCACACACATTTCAGTTTCACTGACCTTGGTACAGTGTAGTGCATTAACTTTCTATCATCTTCAAGGGTTGTACATTTTTGACAAAAAATGGGGAGAATTAGAACATTGTGATACAATGTGATTAAAATCATATGTTACATGGCTTCGTTAACTTCGTACTACGCCTGAACATCTGAGTGTGCCGCGGTCAGGGTCACGTTCAGGTGACCTTTATATTTATAAATACTCATTAAATTTTGACCTATCAGAGACCCTCTTTCAAAAGGGCACTCGGAGTTGTAACATATATGGCTGACATTGATGAGAATGATGCGAAAGTTCTAAAGTTATTTGAGATTCATCGTCTGAAACCCGAACAAAAAAAGATATTCGAAGCTTTATTAGAGAAGAAAGACTGTATGGCGGTGTTGCCTACGCAATTATTACCCAATGGGTACGTTTTCCTTGGCGTCGTCGAAACGTTAGTTCCCGCCGCCATATTTGTTTTGGAAAACTAATCTGTTCGATACCCCTCACTATTTATCTATCAACCATGATATTGCGATTCGCAGGCAAACTTTTGCCAGTGAGCCTCTGATTGGTTCATCTAAAGGTCACTTGAACATGACCCTGACCGCGGCACATTCAGATGTTCAGGCGGAGCCATGTAACAGATGATTTTAATCATATTGATTGTGAAAAAAAACCCATTTACAGTACATTAAACTACATGTACATGTAAATGTTTTGCTACTGTTACAAAAACTAACATTAAATTGATTACATCACAGATTCTTTTTTGAATCATAATGAATCATGATGAAGATGTACTACAGAACCTGGTGAGCTAAAAAAGGTACATGTAAACATTTCGTTACTGATACCAATCATATAGAATCATGATGTAGATATGCGACAGAGCCCTACTGTTTAAGTAAACTTATGAATATCATAAATAATGAAGTAACATTTACTTACACTAAAATCCCCAGCACTGACAGCACCACCAGCAGTACAAGTACACCAAGTACTACAGGCCATTGCATGAACCATTCATTTTGCCTCCAAGTCCTTCGACGTTTGTCCTCATGCTCAGTGCTGACCTCATCCATGTCATCTTCACTCTCAGCAGTGTCATCAACCGGACGTTCGGCTGATTGGCCTGTGGGTTTTCAATTCAAAAGATTTTAATTTATTGTCTTAAACTAAAGAATTTTACCACAGGTAAAGCAAATGTCTGTCATTTCCTGTTGGGGTTTCAGCATTGACAGAAAATATCTTAATAGCTACAATGGACAGCTATTAACTAAATCATTATTAGAGTATGTAAGTTTCTTACAAGAACATGTAGGCTCAGTAATATGTATATAACAAAATTTTCTGTAGAAATCTGCCTGGCAGCCTGGTCTGGCATATTGGTAATGCATTGAAAACAAAATATGATAACCGAGTAGAAACAACAGTCACCCCTAGAGTTAAGACAGTGAGAGCAAGTTCGGGACAAGAAATTCACAATTTTTATAATAATTCATGACACATATATATATATAGTAGGACTAGGAATTGTGTTAAAGACAATGCTGACGCTGGGGCTTGAACCCGCGACCCTTAATTGGCTTAAGAATGATTAATATAAGTTGAAATAATTTGTTTCATTATTGTTTTAAAATAAATAAACTTTACATTTAAAATGCAACCAATGTTTCCGCTGAATATCTAGGTTATCTTTCCGTATTGTTCCACCTAGTACTAGTATTAATACCCAGACTCCTCTGCCCCGGCAAAAACACTTGTGTCGTCAGAAAGCTACGTTATCGCAGCTAGCTTCCACCTTGTTGAAAAGCGACTAAATGCAGACCAGCAAATATGTATCCTATGTTATACTCCACAGAGACCAAAATGGCTTTAATGCGGAGGATTAGTATCCGAATCAGTAATCTTTTTTAAGATTGCGACTACGGACTTGTATATATAGATAATATAGTAGTTCAGCAGGTGATTTGCAACACATTATTAGTATTGAAGTAATAATTACCTTCTGTCTTGGTCTTGCAAGCCGTCACATGGTTGACTATATCATAATGTCGCTGGACAGGTCAGGTCAAGTAATATAGCTCACAATACTAGTAAATATGTATCTGGCACGGTACCCAACAATATGCGAGGTCACCGAGAAACTGTCACTACTATAAGTAGAGCACACTGTAGGAATAAGGGGTTACAATGTCTACAATATGCAGAGCACAATAAGCCGTCCGTACAGTCTGGAGTCCTGGAAGGAAGAGAGTTGGGGTCAGGGAATACTCACTCAAGCAGCACGGGGTCTCTGGCGTCTTACTTACGGTAGAAGCCCGGATGACGTAATGTCAACAGACCCTCGACACTACATTCCTCCCAACCTTATAATGAAAGTCCTTTGTTCTGGGAGGTCTTGAATTGGCGAATATCCTGATCCTTAATCAAAGTTCCCACAAACTATAAGCCTGTGTTTTTAACAACATGTTCTACTACTGGTTGCTGCTCCATGAAACATGGAATTAGAAACAACTGCCGGTCCAACCAGTAATATTCAGTTTCAGGAGAAGCAAGATGTAATTCCCCTTGCTCAGGTTCCGTACCGTCCGTCAGGTATCTGATCCTGAACGGTACACCTATTCACGTGAAACTGACTGTCCTGGAACTCAACATCAGAACTTGATTCATTAACTCTCAGTTCCACTGATAAAGTGGACAAACTATCTGGAGACATGGCCTTCAGTACTGGCTCAGTTGTCGGCCGGCTGTCATGGCTACCACAATCAGGGTGTCTGTAACCAAGAGTGACCTGGGAAACTGTGCTATCCTGATGTTTTCCCAAGCCGGTTGACCTTCAAACTGAGAGGATTGGGTCTAACTGGCATGCATACCCTGAGGGTATACAAGAGAACTTAAACCACTCACGGAAAATCGACCCCTGGCATGAGGGTTAAGTATACTGTCCACAGAGGGCTCCTTACGGCAGTTCACCTGACCTATAAGCTCAGGACACTCCCTAGGATTTCCTCCGTCTGGCCTTGAGGGTTACGTTTCAATGTGGCCACAACAATCCTGCAGGACTGGAAACTCTGGTCCACGCAAGGAGAACTGTCCGTCAGGTTCTTAATGTCCTCCACTGCTATAGCAAACTCGTCCCCTTATTTGTCTGCATGCATGCTGACAATAACTACAGACTCCACAGGGTAACTTCTCGGGTCTGATCCCGACAACATAGGATGGACCATTCACCGTGCCAACTGTTCCTGTGGGTCTTTAAACCGTAGTAGCCAAGTTAAACTAGAGTGGTCTGTCCTGACGGTAAACTGTCTTGTAAATCTCACAATACTGAGAAGCTCCTTCGGGGAGTGCACTATTTCCTCTGCTCCGGGGTTAGAGAGAAACTACTATAAGCAATAACCTTCTCCTCCCCCTCTTAAACTTGAAAGTCACCACCTTGCGTAATGATTCAAAGGCGTTCTGCTGCACATCTCCCCAATGGAACTTGTTTTTTCCAGTAAGACTATACAAGTGTTGAGATAACTCGGCAAAACTTTTCACAAAAGTCCGGTGGTAATTCACCAAGCCGAGAAACCTCCCTACATCCTTCCAATTATTGAACTGGCCAGTTAGCTACTGTTTCGGTGTCACGTTCTGACATGGCTAACTGGTTTATACTTACCATGAGGCTACGGCATTCTACCTCAGACCATGGACTTCTGATCTTTGTTGTAAGCGGGTTTATCACTGGCTGTCTTGTACTTTCGTCCAGCCCAGTTTCTCTGCAAGCTTGTTGATAGCCTTCTCTGTCATCTCCTCCATTCTGGAGTCGCTCGCAGATACTGCATTGACGTTTCCAGTAACATCTTGATCTTTGCGCTTACCCTTTTTATTGTCCATAGCTTGACTGACATACTGAAAGTGTTTCATCAGATTAGTCGCATCCTCCATTGATCTTGGATGGCCCAGACAGGCATGTTTACCTGCTTCCTTGTCTGTGGCTCCTTGACAGTACTTGGCGATAGCTTCAGTACAGCCATATTTTTCCGGTAGGTGGCGGAAAGCTGGAGTGGCTAGAGTCATGACTCTATCTGCCCATTCATCTAAGGGCTCGTCTTGGCGTTGATTGGCCTGCTGAAATTGTATCCTGGCCGTCTCTGTTAATTCTTTGGCGCCAAAACGAGTCTCCAGCTTACGCATGATTTCCCGGAAAGAATGGCAGCTTCCCATCTTTGTGACTAGGGTGAAGTAGTCCAACGCCTTTCCTTCTAATGCCCATCCAAGATAATCCCGAAACTGACTGTGTGACCATTCGAGGACGTGTCTGTAGCTGTCAAACTTCTGCTTGAATGACAGCCAATTAGTTTTACCATCAAACTTCAGATTTTTGGGTTATTTCATAGGATTTCCCCTTCTGGATGAATGTTCATGGTAGTCCTCAGAGTAGTCGCCGTCACTGGAGGTATCAGAGGAATCAAAGTAAAACCGTGACCTACCTCTCCCCTCACTATCATGATGACCTTGTCCATGTCGACGTCGGGCATGCGACCTATTCTTCCTGTTTCTATGACCGTGACGAGATTTAGCCCTATAAGAGCTGTGTCCTGTCCTACAAGGACTGTGTCTACGGCCATGTCTGTCCCTTGATGGTGTTCTTGAGGACCTCCCAGCATACCTCCCTGATGGCCTCGACCTAGATTTTGACCTCAAGTCATATAATGACTCCGAGGGCGAGGGTGACCTTGAAGGGGTTCTGTATTTATGATGGCTACCCCAGTGTTTTCCCTCATAAGGTTTCCCTCGTGTCTGGTCCGATACCAAACCTCGGCCATCAGTGTTGTCCTGTGACCTTTGGTGGTCTCTATGCCTAGATGATACCATCTGTGTACCAGGAGCCTCTGTATGTTTCCTATCAATAGGAACTATATCCGGTGACCTTGACCTTGATGACCTGGAGCACTGACTTGATGTATAATGTCGGTGCTTGCCTTTGTCAAGGTTCCTCGGACTCCTCACTGGCATGTCCTGGTAAACAGTCGGACTTAATGGACAACTGGGCTGGTACTTGTCCTCAACGGCTAAATTGCTGCTTCGCATACGTATCAGCTCTTGATACATTTCATGCATCCTGGAGGAACTTGATACATACGAATATCCAGATTCAGCTGTGCTGTGCTCCACCATCTCCTGTTTAACACCATGTTTAGACAGAACCTTATATCTGGCTCCCTCGTCCCTTGATAAATTTCGGTATGGAACCTGGGGGAAATCAGCCATGTATGGGTTCTGTTCTTGTGCAGGTCTTGGCTGCTTACCCTGTAGATTTGTTGGTGACCATGGGTCAGTGCTGTTGTCCACATCAGGGCAATAGGTATCAGCCTCCTTACCTGCACCAGGTTTAGTGGTGTGTGCAACGGGTTGGGCAACATGGGGTGAGGCAACACGGGTAGGGGTCCGTATTTGGGCTGTATATGGGGGTTCAACCGGTACTGAACGTAACATCTGTCGTTCCCTTACTGGTGGGGCTGCTAGGTCATCTGTCCCTTGTTGGGGTGTGGTAGCACCCATATCTGATGGTACATGTCCTAGCAGATCTCTTAAATTCTGTGACTCAGAATGTTGGCTGTCCGGCACAGGGATATTGTTCTCAAAATCTATAAGATTTATGAGGGTCCCTGTCCATCCTCCTCCCACCAAAAACTGATGTAAACTCACTCACTAGGGGCATTGAAATGAACCCAAATTGTTCCTGAATTTCCATAATTCTGGCAGCCCTCCTAGGCCCTATGCCTGGAAGTTGCCTCATTTCCATTTCTGTTGCAGCGTTGATATTTATCAAAAAGTGTTGGGCCATGTTGTTTTTATTAATTAATGTTCTTTTAAAATGTTGTCAGTTTTTTCCTCTCTTTCCAAAATAACTGCCGTAATTTCCGGATATCTGATACAAATATCGGAATGAAAACCGCGTGACCACGTGACTACTACAACAGGTAAAAATCAGAAAAATTCCGACTCAAAGCTGTTGAATTATCAGAAATACAGCGCGAATAAATTCCACACTAAAAGGCAATGCTATCCTAGCACTTCTGACACCAATGAAGTAATAATTACCTTCTGTCTTGGTCCTGCAAGCCGTCACATGATTGACTATATCATAATGTCGCTGGACAGGTCAGGTCAAGTAATATAGCTCACAATACTAGTAAATATGTATCTGGCACGGTACCCAACAATATGCGAGGTCACCGAGAAACTGTTACTACTATAAGTAGAGCACACTGTAGGACTAAGGGGTTACAATGTCTACAATATGCAGAGCACAATAAGCCGTCCGTACAGTCTGGAGTCCTGGAAGGAAGAGAGTTGGGGTCAGGGAATACTCACTCAAGCAGCACGGGGTCTCTGGCGTCTTACTTACGCTAGAAGCCCGGATGACGTAATGTCAACAGACCCTCGACACTACAGTATGTATACATGTACCTCTGGGTGCGACGACATCGTCAACATCGCTCGTGCTGCCTGGTCCTTTGTTCCGCCGCCTGCAGGCAGACATATTGCGTCAATGATTCTTGTAACTGACAACAGTAACTGAATGTCTCTGTTTAAAATATGTCACCGTTCAGACAGTTGTTAAAATAACAACAGAAAGGTTAGATGTTGACGACAGGCCTGGTCGCCGGCACGCTTCGACTTATGAGAATTCTTGGAATTCCTACTTTCGCTTTCGATTTAGTGCAATCGGAAACATATTGTTTTCCGTTTTAAGAAATAAAACTTGACCTATCACTTATTACAACATAAATCATAACGTTGTTAATGCATTGGGTAAATATTTTCGTTCAAAAGATATAGAAAAAAGGAAGACAAAGGCATGCACTAAAATACGTCATAGGGGAATTTACACCATAGATAGGATTTTTTGCACGCCATAGCAAAATGTAAGTGTTGTATTCACGAAATAGTTCGATTTTTTCATTGGTATACACATTTAACACGTTCAGGTAAAGTATCATTAAAAAAAGAGTGTAGTTTGTTTGAAAATCGATCTTAATTACGAAGCACTTTACACTAAAAAATACGCCTTAGTGTTTTTTCACGCCATAACAAAATATAAGAATTATTTTCAGCAAATAACTGGTTTATTCCTGTGGTATATATCTTAAACAGGTTGTGGTAAAGTTTCATTCTTAAAAAAATGTATTTTGTTAGGAAATCGACAAAAAATGGATCGCAATTCAGAAGTCAATTTCAAGGGAAGTAACTCTTACATTTGCAAAATACGCCATAGCA